ACTGCCTACACACATTCACTCACGGCATGAGCCTTCTAAGTCACACGCATATCCACGACAGCGTAATTCACAGCGCTATCGATGCACTAGCACACCTTGCACACTTTCCATGCCTAGCCCTATCCACACCCCATCTCCCAGCACGTAAACCACCAGCAGCTCCACCATCATCACAACCGAAACCGACTCTTACGCTCCCGATTTATCCTGCCAACACTGTCCCCGTACATTCACCTCGCACATTGGCCTGGTCGGTCACTATCAAATCCATCGCACAGGGGCTGGCGAATCAGTGCCTGGAGAACCAACATACACTCGCCGCATCCGCCTCAACTGCTCTCAAGGTCTCCGTATATTCGGTCACCGCATGGGCCTAGTAGGACACATACGCATTCATACCCGGCAGGAGTCCTTGTTCCAGATGGCTATTGAGACGGTTGAGGACGATGCAAGCAGAGATTTTCCAGCCGATGTTCAGTAAGGAGATTCCTCGATGGTTGTCACAGAGCTAGGGTTACCTTTCGGCATACAGAGATGGAAGACTGTGGCGTACTTGAAATCCTGCGGGGCTTCTCCTTCATGCCACATCTCCTGCAATAACATTGCCAGAAGATTCATGAGTTGGGTGCCGCCGTGTCTGTAGATCTCAGCAGTAATTGCGTCCGATCCAAACGCTTTCCGGCTGCATAGCCACTGCAGGACCCTGGTGGTTTCTTTGAGAGGTCGAGATCAGTGTTGGTCTCCACCTGAGATAGACGAGCGGTGGCGGCATCGGAGGTGGTGGAGAGACGGTTGAGAACGCCTCGGAAGTGTTCGGCCCATCGCTGAAAAATTTGCAGCTTCTCTATTAGCAGGGTCGTTCTATCAGCGCTGAGATGAGGAACGGTGCCTTTGGCTGTGGGACAGTAGACAGTCTTGATTGCAGCATAGAAATGCTTCCATTCGTCGCAGTCCGCGTATCCTTTGATCTCCTCGGCCATGCAAACCAGGCCTCCTACATTCCGCGCAGTCGCAGTTGCACAAGGCGACGACTGTGGTAGAAGGCTGCTTTGTTGTCGTCGATAGAGCAGTAGACGTAGGCTCTGAACAGACGGTTCTTCTCGGCGAGCAGATTTCTGATGGCAGCGTCGCTTTCATCGAACCAATCCTGATGTTGTCGGCGTGCGCGACCTAGGACAGCCAGGACGGTCGACTGGACCATGTCCTTCATTTGGTATCATCGGTCCCCCACAATGGCGTCCTCGTCGTCGTCGTCGTCGTCGTCGTCGTCGTCGTCGTCGTCGTTGTCGTCGTCGTCGGCGGCGGCGGCGGCGGCGGCGGCGGCTGAAAGGTCGGCTAGTCAGTGATTTAGCGCACTACTGAAATGGAGATGGTGAGGAGGCAAAGACAAAGCAACATTCAACTTACCTGTAGGTTGCCTACATTGAGGTCTCCTGCGAGGGGATCGTCGGTCCACCCGTTGGCACTCGGGATCTACTTTGTTACCCACACGTCCTTCTGGTGTCGCCTCCGAACAAGGGCATAGTCCTGCAGGTGCCAGGGTCGCGACCGATGGCGCATACAGGTGGCCTTCTCTCATATTGAAAGGCGGAAGAGGGTGTTGGTCAGGATGAGACGATGTTCTGCACAGGTTCATAGGAGGAGCAAGCCATTGTCATTGGAGCCGCCGAGATCATGGGAACCCAGCACTCATCTTCAGGCAGCACGGTTTGTGCCGACGCGGACGTTGAAGTTACCAAGGACAATCAACTTATCCGCCTTCGGCACAGTCGTCAGGAGAGCGTGCAGGCCCTCGCGGAATTTGTTGCTTGCAGTTTCAGAGCTGGTCCTCGTTGGGGGGAGGCGTAGACGCAGACGACGGTAGCGAATTTGTCTCTCCGGAGAGGCAGATGGAGGCTCATGAGACGATCATTGCTGTCCTGTGGGAGACAGGGCAGTTTTCATACGATGTCGTTATGAAGGGCAAGGACGATGCCCGCGTCTTATCCTTCTGTCTTGGGGCGAAATCTCCAGAAGAAGGTGTAGACGACACCCACTTCCTCCAGTTGGCCTTCTATGGAGAAACGGGTCTCGCTGGCCATGTCCACTTTGTAGCGCATCACTTCCCAAGCGGCTAGGGCGGGCCTCCGTTCCGGTCGGTTGCTCCTCGATTATCTAAAAGTGAACTAACATTCCAGGTTGCCGGAATGAACGGATTCGTCCTAGCTGCCTGTGGGGGGGGGGGCAGAGAATAGGAGGAGGAAAACAGAGTGTCTTGTCTTGTGCTTTGGTTTCGATCGCATGTTTATCGGTCTCCGCGCCGATATCGCGGCCTCAACTTTGTTTAGTGCACTAGTGTATCCCCCTCCCTCTCAAGGGGTAAAGCAGCGGTCATTAAATTGGGCTGCTTTGTCGTACCAGACGGATACCGCTCTCCAATATTGGTCACGGGGTTTTGTGAGAGAACGACCAATGACTTGGGCCGCCTACGTGATTGCATACCGCCCTCGCCGTAGGACTTTCGACCGTGGGGTAAGACGGTGGAGCAGCGTGGAGAGTAGAAAGAGAGTGGAGGGCAGGGGAGAAGGGAGGAGAAAAGGTGCAAAGGAGGAGTAAGGGGCCGGACTCCCAGCCACTGGGTCAGTAGCTTGCTGAGTGTTTGTGGCCTTCTGAGGGGCTGCAAACGGAGTCCCATCTGTAAGGTGCCGATGCGGTGATTCGTGCGACCAGCGGGGGTGGGAGGGGAACAGAATTACCGTGTGTGTGGGGATGTACCCGCAAATACCCTTACCCAGTTTAGCCTGCTAGTCGTAGCGGTTATAGAGATGTGTCCGATAGGCAGAGCCTAGCTTCGGGAAGCCACGTGTGTGAGTTGGGGTCTAGTTAATGGGCGGTAGGCGTAGTCTACACCCCCAACCAAGTGAGCGACCTACCACGGCCGTCACGTGAACCCACAATTGGACACCCCCACACCCGTGCGGTAGACAACCGCCGGCTACAGCACACCATCACTACCGGAGCTGACTCTGCCAGTCCGGATTTATCCTGCCCAGACTGTCCCGTACATTCGCCTCACCCATAGGCCTGATCGGTCACCCGCACCTCACAACCCCACCACTCATCACAAGCATCCATCTGTCACCTCCCACGCAAGTGGGAAGTGTGCTCGCCGAATCCTTCTCCATGTTGCTCCTCTGCTGCACGTGTGATCGGAATATGAGTCTATCACGGTGCGCCAAGCGCCGTGACTTGGCAGGCTGACGGCGGACCCCTCAACTCAGTCCCCACCCCAGTCTGCCCAGTTGTATGTGTTTGTGTGGAGGTTCGGACTGATGGACTGAGATCCAGGTTGTCACGGCTCCTTCTTAAGTGATCTGGGACATTCTCACGCATGTGATGATTGTGTGCTTTATGGGGATAGCCTCTCAGTCGACTAATGTTTGGATACTCAGCCCTGAAGGGTGACAATCCAGGCAAATTTAGCGCCATCTTCCACCCTTCTGGGCCGAAACGTCTGTAAGCGCCTGCTATGCCAGTATCAGCAAACCATGGCCCTTGCAGCCTGGTATGTGCTGGCAGTTCTCTGACACCTGGTCCCCTGCCGGTGGATGCGTTTCTGCTCCCGCTGGGTAAACAGGTCGTGAGCACGGCTTCGAAGTCATCCTCGTCCTTCTCGCCCGTTTTGGTGCTGGGGTTGTTAAAATCCTGGTCATTTGTTGCGTGGACCAGGGGGTGTGGGTTTTGGCGCGAAGGTGCGGGCTTGGATTTGCCATCCACCTGCGCCCTCCCACGTCCCCCGTCTTCTTCGCCTTGTCTTGACACTGGGTTTAGGTGGAACAAGAGGAGCAAGTGTGGTAGGTGTGAGGCAAGCCTACACTTACTATAAACTAGATCACGCGCAAGTCACCGTGCCTGCTTCACCTCTCTATGAAGCACACGGTGAACATCGTCAGCAACGACGGTCGAATTGTCTTATGGGCAGTGCCTCTTAGTCGATGACTGACTGGTTGCTTGGCCTTTGAAGGGTGTCAGCTCAGACAAATGTGGGGCATGTGTCACCTACTGGATCTAAAGGTCCATAAGCATCTTCTATGCCAGGATCAGCAAAGCATGGTCCTTGTGGCCTGTTATGCGCTGACGGTTCTCTGGCACTCGGTTCTCTGCTGACAGAAGTGCTTACGTCCCTCCGTACATACAGGACCTGTGCATGGTTACCCAGTCGTCCTCCTCCTTCCGACCCGTTTATTTTGTTGTTGGTTAAAATCCTGATCAAGTATTTGTTGTGGGCCAGGGGGTGTTGTGGTACACCTGAGTGAGCGTCTGGCCGCTCCAGTCACCCCCCCCCCCATCGGTCTTAAGTACGTCTTGACACCGCGTCCAGGTGGGGGAAGAGGAAGGAGTGCGATAAAGGCTGTGCAAGTCTACTCCTACTTTAAATTAATTCACGCACAAGTCACCATGTCTGCTCTGAGCCTGCCGTGGAGGACACGGTCGACATCGTCGGCAACGACGTCCGAACTACAATGTGTATAAGCTCACGGATAATTTCAGTAACAAGCGCATATGCTGTCCTCTATAAGCGCGTAGGATTCTAAGCCTAAGCCATCTAGATTTTCCTTGAGAGGTAGAGAGGAGGTGGAGAGAATACGCCTTCTTTGAAAGTATTATTCCAACATATTCAGCAAAAAACTCATTCTTTCATCCTGCACACAGCAACTTTGAAGAAGCCCGACCGGTTTGAATTTGTAGAAACTGTATTAGTCGACTCTGGCAAGTCACTCAACAGTGATTAACCTCACGTGCGTAGCACATGCACAATTACCTACGGCACCCCGAAATGCGCTGCAAGATATCATGCGTCGGAACGGGCTGCCTAAAGCGAGAGTTACAGAGTGTACATTTTCAGATCTGTCTTTAATCATTACTACAACTAATGCTGACAAATAAAGTTAAGGATCATGGTGCCTACTCCCAGTGTCGCGCATCATCCATCCCCCACTTTTGTGAATATCTCTACCCTGGACTCCAGTTATGTTCGGAGGAATGGGTGGGAGACTTTAGACAAATTTTCTGCGACATAAAGGATGATTTTGTGCAAAGTCAAACTACGTATTTCGGAAAAGTCATTTAATATCCGTAAATTGTCTATAAGCTTCTCAGCGGAAGAGTATTATCATCAATCGCTCGAGCACATTTTGAACGGCAAAACTACCAGAGCTCCCTTCCTAGTTTTCTAAAGTTAGAAGCCACAACGCCCGCAAAGAAGGCACCCTCTATCTTCCCCACCTTGATATCTAGGGATGGCTCTAGCACACTTCCCTTGCCGGCTGAGCACGATTTGTTAATGAGAAATTCCAAAGTTTGCCTGTGGTTGCGAATTCAGTGAGGTCTCTGAAGATCAGATAACAGTCTAATCCGTTCCTAATGTAGAATTGTTGTTACTGGTTATATCGCGTTTGCTTCCAAATAAAACAAACGTTTTGTTGGGCGGGTTGTATGAGGCAATGAACTTTTGGCATTGTTTTGATTCTTTTTGAGACACTTAGGATCATGGATTGTACAGTCTCTGCGCTTGAATCGCATGAAGGGACGTGACCTTCAAAGTTCTCCGAGGATCTTGAAGAAGAGGTCTTCGTCAAAATCCACAGTATTTCCCATACAGACGAACATTATGACTTTGATCACTTCCAAACAGTGAAATGGACATCTTTAGGAATCTGGGAGTCAGCAGTCATAGATAGCTTTAATGGTTGATGTCTTGTCAAGCTGCAATGTTAGGTAAAATGTTGGATCTTCTTTCCATGCACTTGTCTGGCCTGCATAAGCAAGGTAGGATAGATGTACTGACATTGGACGGTAAAAGTAGACGACTTGACCAACTATCTAGAGAAGTAGATTGGCCTGCAGGCCATCCTCATTGGAAGAGTTATGGACCATATTCCACATCTTCATATCGTTTGCAAGTATTGTTATTTCGAATTCAAAATGCATTGCCAATCAAACGCATGTACAACGAATATAGCTAGTTCTAGTAAAAAGATCTTACGCAAACCGATCGTGACTATTGTAGGTTAAGATATCGTCTGGATTGCGCAAACAGTCTGAAACCAACTGCTGAAGAATCCATTCATCCAAGAAGGTTCCAATTGTATCCATAATTGGAAACTTGCGCGGCAGTCGCTGGATTGATGCAGGGCGCGAAAACGATGCCAAAACACTTAATGTAACTTATTTCCCCGTCCGTCTTTTTTATGGGAATGGTGTTAGGAGTAGTGCGCGATAATTACGAAATTGTATTTCCGTCAAATTTTGTTTGACTGCATAAAGAACACTCCGTAAATGACCTTGTAACTGGTAAGGCAGCCCATAGGGAAAGGCTGCAGGGACCTAGCACCTCTTGCTATTGCGCTATTCTTTGCGCTCGAACGCGAACCGTACTGACCGCTGCACTCGCCGACCAGAGCCTGGACGTGTGTGCCGTTAGCGCTGAGGAAAAGGAAATTGAGGACAAGGTTTTCATTGCTTTCTCGCGTAAAGACAACAGTGGGAAGGTATTGCCTGCATGGTTGTGGTTATGGTTGAGGGAAGCCATCGACCCCTTCCCCCTACATCTGCGCCCTCAGTAAAAGAAGGCCGGGCAACGGAAGGAAACAGCAAATTAGGTAATGTAATTTTGCTTACGATATGGTGGCTGAACAGCTAGATAGGAAGTGTGGCAGTAAGCACGCGTTACCTCGAGGAATATCCAACACTAAGTAAGAGTTAACGGAGGTGGCATAGTGTGTTCATTTGGAAAATATTATCGCGTGCACCCTCAGATGGTTTTGCGCACTGATTAATCACGTAGTGGGTTAGTTGACTAGGGAAATGATGCAAGAACTACTTGAATGGTCACAAGTAATGACGGTAAAATGTGTCAGCCGAAGAAAATTTTTGATGGCGTAGCTGCTATATACGATATTTGAATAAAAAGGGACATTTACGAGTTTACGAACACGATCTTCCACATCCGCGACGTGCACGGCATACGGGTTAGGTTACATAGATAGTTCATTGACGAGTAGACTACTTTTCCGAAATCTAATGATTTGATCTGTTTTAGTGTGAAATGCGCAGATTCTTAAATCAAAATCTTGCAGCATAATAAATCACGAGCAAGTACTTAATTAAGCAATTTTCTGGCATTTTTACTGGCATATGCCCTCCCGCCTTCTACCTACATGATTTACCGTTCCACTATCGCAGACGGCATTTCGTTACCTTGACGGAGTCGACTTTTGTAGGTATAAAGGCGTGCGTATGAGCTATTTACCGTAAGATGCATTAATTCTAGTGCACCTCAGTCAAAGAATTCAGGGAAAATATGTGAGCAATAGGAAATATAACCTCTTAATTACAATGCCGTTGACGGAGTAGGTGCGCCAGGTCACTAACAAAGGCACGATAGTCAACCATGCCATTGACGGGTTAGTGTTTTCTCTAGGTACCTCCATGCGGTATGACATGGGAATAAGTCCCGGATACGTAGTTGGTTATGTCGACGAGTGGAAATTGTCATTTATAGCGGCTGAACACACCCACTGGCCCATAGATAGTCTTTTATTTCTGCAAGCAGTCCAGAGGTTACCTTGCACGCGTGTTGAGTGCAATCTGGAAGGATGACGGATTCTGCATATTGATAGTCCGTGTGGAAAA